AAATAATTACATAAAATAGAATCATGTTATATGAATAAAATATTGTATTCTTTTATATATAAAACAGTTGTTTCTATAGAATATATAAACTAGTATGTAAAATACATATATAAAAATATATTTTTCAGGAAGAAATTTTTCTCACTGGTCTGCTGAAGACTCCTTACCTTCATAAATTTTTGGCAAATAATACAGAACTGGAAACTAATTATTTGAGATAGACACCATGAACAGACATCCACTCAGTTCAGTTAGCAGATCACAAAACATCTGTTTCTATTTTTCATGCAAGTACTTCAATTATAAATACTGTCATCCCAGAAGCATAAAATTAAGTATACAAAGCAACAAAACAAAAGTAAAAGTTCACCTGGCATTCCTCTGACTCTTCCGCAGTCACTGGAAGAATAGAAGGCTTTGCTGGTAATTTCAGTTCATATGACATTATACTCCACCTAAAAGAAACATAACAGCTTTTAAGTTTCCAGATGATTACTTTTATCTTTTCTCCAACATATCAACAAAAAGAAAATCCAGTGTCACACCAATTGTTAGAAAAAACCCAAAGAATCTTAATTTTTAATTGCATGCTAACTGAATATGGGTGAAATATTGAGACTAAAGATAACAACTGGTTTTATTGCTTAAATTTTTTTGTCAGTGATTTGATAATAAGCCTTCTTTGCTCACAAATCATGGGACATTCAATGCAGGCAACAAAGATTTTCTAGCAAAACATTCACAGTATAAAAGAATTCATGCAAACTAATTGCAGAAGTCAAAGGAAAATATATGTGTTCCTGGAGAAAAAGCTCCATGGTAACATTAGTTTTTCATCTCAACAAGGGGAGGGAAGCATGTGAATGAAACAAATAGTGAAGTATCTTCATTGACATATATATTTTTTCCCCTGGTAAAGGACAGTACTCTACAGCATAGATAACATGAAACAGCTAATAGCAACATCCTTCAAAGCCGGCTGAAAAGAACAAGTTATCATTGCAGATGGCCTTAGGAGCAAGTCTACTGAAATTAGAGCAAAAAAATGACACTGAGCTTTTTTCAGTACAGAAAAAAGACAAACATGATTTAATCTACGAATCTGTTGCTCAGGCAAACAATTATTTCTAAGGATCAGTAACAATCATTTCTCTATATACTTTGCTGTAAAATGATCAAGTAGGCTGCAGAAAAGCCTAAAACAAAAAAGAACTTGTTTCTCTATTTCATTAAAAAAACCCTAAAATAAAATCCTCTTTGATCACATTCAAGTGTTTGTAACTAGAGCAAGAACAGGAACACCTATGAGAGAAAGGAACAGAGTAAGAAATACTCTCAAAAAGAAGTGTTACACCTTCATTGGAATAACATGACCACCACCTTCTTTGACTTTTTTTAAGTTAGGATTGCTCCTTTGCTTTATGGATGGAAACCACACAATATAAGGGCTGGGAAGATCTCTTGGGTTTGACTAAGAAAATGCCTCCAACAGAAATATTAGTAGTGGATCAAGACAAAGATCAACTTAGCCCAGCATCTTGTCCACGTCTGATGCTTCAGGAAATTATATGAAGGATGAAAGCATACAATGAGAGTTCTCCTCACGTCCAAGGACAGAGAGCTCAGGTGTTTCCTAATTAAAGATGCTACCTTTAATGGTATTTAACAGTGTGTATGGAGTCCTTAAAACTGCCCTAAATGGTTTTGAATCTATACAATTTCTTAATGCTTACAACTTTTTGTAAGAGGCAGTTAGGTAGCTTCATCACTTATGCAATAAACTGTCTCTTTTGTTCATCTCTGGACGACACATTTCTTAGATTTGTCAACTGCTCTCCTCTCTGACTCTTCAGTTACTATCTTGGCTTCCATCGACCAGCAGGTCGAGGGAGGTGATTCTGCCCCTGTACACCACTCTCGTGAGACCCCACCTGGAGTACTGTGTCCAGCTCTGGGGGCCCCAGTACAAGAAAGCCATGGAGCTGTTGGAGAGAGTCCAGAGGAGGGTCATGAAGCTGATCAGAGGGCTGGAGCACCTCTCCTATGAGGACAGGCTGAGAGACTTGGGGTTGTTCAGCCTGGAGAAGAGAAGGCTTTGAGGAGACCTTATAGCAGCCTTCCAGTACCTGAAGGGGCGTACAAGAAAGCTGGAGAGGGACTGTTTACAAGGGCATGGAGTGATAGGACAAGGGGTAATGGCTTTAAGCTGAAGGAGGGTAGATTTAGACTAGATATTAGGAAGAAATTCTTTACTGTGAGGGTGGTGAGGCACTGGCACAGGTTGCCCAGAGAAGCCGTGGCTGCCCCCTCCCTGGAAGTGTTCAAGGTCAGGTTGGATGGGGCTTTGAGCAACCTGGTCTAGTGGATGGCAGGGGGTTGGAACTAGATGATCTTTAAGGTCCCTTCCAACACAAACCATTCTATGATTCTATGACTCCATGATTTTGTGATTATGATCTGCACTCTAGAACCAAAACCACTGAACATGAAGTCTCTAGGACAGATTTAAGCCATCAGAAACCCAAACAAATATGATTTGCATCTCATGGTAAATCATGTATATGCACATTTATGTTTACCTGTCTAACATTTTCGTGCTGGCTCGTTCTAGTTTCTCCAAAATCTGAGGAAGTTGTGTATCATCATCACAGGATCCTCCCCAACCAAGAACACGAGCAAGGTCATTTCCAGTACCAAGGGGTAACACTCCTAACTGACACTGAAACACAACACAGAAGCAAATCTACTGTTGAAAACTAGACAGTACACACTATTCAAATGCTTGATATTTCAGGCAACAAATGTTAATTATACAGCTGATGTCTAAACCTTGTAAATCAGATTGTGTAATCCCGACATAACATTTACACCAGTGACAATTTTCCTGTAAGAGTAACTACTGAGTTTGGCCCATATCCACATGTACGACAAAGAACCAAGTCAAGGCAAAGTAAGGATACAAAATTAAGTCTAGGAAGTATAGTCAAGGAATACACACTTACCTGTTTGTGCAAGCTCAGCTTATCAATTTCTGACAAGACCCAACCCACGCTTCCATCGCCGCCACGCTCCCACCCCCGCCACACACAAGAATCCTGAAGTTGTCAAACTTCTGAAATAGCCGCAAACTGCAGAGAAAATGCAGCCTGTTAGGGCCAGTTATGTCCATTAGCGAGATAGCAGTTATATTCATTAGCAACCATTACATGAAAATATGCACGGCATCTTCACGATGCTTCTTTTATTGTTCTGGGGTATGTGGATACAACAACAGTTTTGTCTATTTGTGTATTTTGTCTATCGCTGTATATTCCACTTATACTTACATTTCTGATAAATAACATGCCAAGTTTTACTTTAAAAAAATTCCCTTGATATTGTTTTCAGGATTTTATTAATATTATTTTATTAATTTTATCAATAAAAAAAAATTTTCTAAGCTATGAAATTGCAACTGCTCTATGCTTCCTACTTCAGTCAGAAGGACAAGGCACCATGGGGAATTTTTCACGAGAGGAGATTAAGACACAGTGACAGGATGTGCTTCACAATACGGGTGGGCTTTTTCCAATGCGTGACTAATCAAATGCAAGGACAGTTGGAGACAATTATTATACATAAGGTGATCACAACAATATAAGACAAAAAATACTAGGATTTCATATTAAATCCTTAATGCCGTAGCCTGCTTTCGCTTCCTACAGTTCTTCCTCCTGTTCTCTGACGTTTAACACCTACAGGATACAACACTTGGGCAGTACAGAAAAAGACAAGAGACAGAACAAGCAGAAAGGTTAGAGACAGAGGAAAGGGGAATGAGATGTGAAGAAACAGCCAAGAGGTAAAAACAACAGGGATTTAAACTTAAAAAAAAATAACTGGAAAGCAGAAACTCTTAAAATAATAAAAATAAAGATGTTTAATTTTAATGCATGTTATTTTCCAGAATATGTATAATCTCAGAACTATTTCTAAAAAGCAACATATTAAGATCATAAATTTTTGAAGAATTTATATTTTTCTAAAGAAAATAATGCCACTTGTATACAATAAATAATATCACTTGTATTTGATAGGTAGATACCTATTCAGAACAAAAGATGCAGATATTTAAGGAAAAAAAATGTTGATACCAGAACAATTTCTCCTACCCTGAGAAAAGAGAGAAATCCCCTAGAAATGCACTATCTCAAAGAATGCAACTCTGCTTTTTAGATCAACCAGAAAAAGAAGACATCAGCACGACCTGATAGAATAACTGCTAAGGACCTCTTCTTGGAAACCAGGAAAAATATTTAAAAGCAACCAACCTGACCTACGATTACTTTGTAAAACCAAAGTGAACCTCCTGAACCGTGCTGCTGGTAGGTACAACTAGATGAAGCAAGAGAACTTGCAAACAGAGATATTTTTTCAGACTCTCCTCTCTCAAAAATTGTCTCTCTAATTGAAATGAACCTTCTTTACTTCTAGAATCACATGTACAAAACATTAGCCGAAAGAGACTTTGATTAAATTCAGATTTAAATCAGGGTTATAATGAAAAGAATATTACATCTTAAAGAGTTAATACAACATGTCCATAACACAGTGCTAACTATAAAAATCCACATCTGTACTCCACTATATTTGTATTATTTGCCCACTGTTTGAATTTTTGTGCATTTGTTTCATCTACATTTTTATGATGCAAGCATAATTCTGCATCTGTACAAAAATTAGTGTTTCTAGTTGCTGTAACTGATATTAATAAGCCATTTGACCACAATGCTACATCTGAGAAGAATTAAGTTCAGCAACAGAAAAATGTGCATGAATTTAATCTTTATGAATGTGCAAATATGATTGGGTTGTGGCCATCGCTATGCAAATTTCATCCTTATCTTTCCAACAATCAACTCCTAGATTTTGTAGAATTCTTGACGGTTTTAACTATGTTCTTGCTCGAAACTTTGTGAGTTGCTTATTTTCTCGACCATTTGCATATGTTGCCTAAAACCGTATTTTGAATATAGTTTTTCCAGTGACAGAAGTTTTAGTGTACTCATCCATCATCCACTGCAGACTCCCCCACTGACATTTGTGTTCAGAATTCAAAAAGATATAGAGTACATATATACAATAGTTTTATTCCATAAATATTCACAACAAAGTCACAGGAATATTTGAATTACGCATATGAAATGGAAGAAAAACACCCAGGCAACTGTGCATAAAGGCCCTGATTCAGGAAAGCATCTAAACATTTGTAATGGTTTTGAACCTTACCGGTTAACAGAAGTCAAAGCTAGCCAAAAAGCCACAAAAAACTTGGGCTGATGGGTTTTGGGTTTGAATTTTCAAGTGAGATTTCTTTTCTACAAAGAAAATGTCATCCTACAATCCCTTCACCCACCAGAATTCATTGTGAAATTCTGTCATCTATTATATTTGAATTAGGAAGTCACGTAGATATTGGCGGTAGAATTATAGCAGCCAGGGGACAACACAACACTCTGTTTTGCACTAAATTCCCTTGCGAAAAGGATTACTCAAGATTTCCAAGGTCATTACCCTAAGTGAGGTCCTCCATTCATTAAATCGAACACCTGAGCTGGATTTAACGACTGTTTGAATCGACGAAGAAACTTTACTCCCTGATTGTCTCCACTCTTTGAGTTAACAAAAACTAAAAGAGGACTGGCACAGGATGGCGGGCATGTGGCTTTCCAGAAACCTGTAAACATAGTTAGAAAGAATGAAATAAATAAGGCTTTCTAATATGAACAACACAAAAAGAAATCATGGGAAAGAGGAAGAAAGGGATGCAGGACAAAAGGAGTACATTTTATCATGCATAATGTAAATGCTAAATGGAGTATTAGTCCTGCAAGGAAAACATAAGTGCTCAAGATTTATCCGTTCACTTTTTTCTTTCTGGTATTTTCAACGCCTAGATTTAGTAAAATCCTGAAGACAATAGCTTTATTGTTTTTCCACAGTGAAAAACGTCACTAACCTTTTTAGAATTCTTCTCAAATCTTGTCTTTACCGATTATCACGTAATTTAATATCTATTTCAGTTACAAGTGTTTGGTTTTTAATCTGATTTTTCTTTAACATTACTGGGTTGAACTGGATCTTCCACATCTGTATGAGCTTTCTAAGAATACTCACAGATTTTAAAAGTTTTACTCAGTTGCTCCCAGCTGATACTTTGTATGACAATTTTTTTCTTAGACTGAAGTTATACTATTAATTAGAATAGAATCACTGAACAACAGACCTTCAGCTGTGATTCAAAGCTTATTAAAGTCAATGCAGGTCTCAACTGATTACAGCAGACTTTCTCTAAGGCCCTTCCTTAGCAAGTAGTACCGATGGACACTGTTGTCACTAACATGACCAGTCCATGGAAGTACTGGTTTCTCAGCAACACTTCAAATTCAGACATCGCAGGTATAGGTTTTGACATTTGTTTCAGGCAATAGTAAAAGAACTATGTTGTTTTCAGCTGCCTAAAAAAAAAAAGTCACTAAAGCTACAAATAAAAAATTGGCATTAGAGGATGCTAATTTAACTCCACATTATCATAATGTATAATTTAAAATAAGGTTTGATTAATTTATTTAAATGCCAAGAAAAATAATTTCACATATGGAACAATCTTCCTAGCATGAATAATACATAGCAGCATGACACTCTGGTCTGAGACACCACATAGCAAGTACAAAGAAAAGAGTGAATATATACAGCATAAACAATCACTTTTACTAACTTCATACAATAAAATTCATTAAATTGTGTTAAAAGTTTTGGCCTACATTTGCCATCAACACAAACTATACAATTAAAGCAGTCAGATTTCATGACACTCCTTATTAAATCCGCTCCCTGCCTTTAAGTGCAGTGTCCCACTGCTCACGCGTCTCTACCCTGAGCCACCAAAGAGCACCTCCGAGTTTTGAAGTAGTCAAAAGTTAGTGCATTGAACACACTACAATACTACGTACCATCAGAGTCTATACTGTTTAGTGCTGTCGGAGGTATGATCGATACCTTACATTGACCAAGTGGACATTTACGAGGATATAGATCTTTACAGGCAGTGTGAACCTATAAAAGAAACATAAGATTATTTCACTACAGTGGAATTTCAGGGTGAAAATATAGCTGATACGGTATCTATGTAACAAAAATGGACTAATATATAACATTTAGGTGTAGAGGGAAGAGGAACGAGACTGGGAAAAAAACATATGAATGTCCAACCACAAAGGCTTGTTACTCATTCCACAAAACATAAGTTTGGAGTACTTCATCTTCAGCTACCCCTACAGCAGATGTGAATCTTCCTTTCAAGGGAATCGCTTACCTCCATCCACAAGCAAGGGAGGACCAAGTTCCCAGCAACCAGCATCCGCGTTGGGGGCAGCGGCCACGCTGTGCACGTGCAAAGCAATAGCTCTGTACATGCCTGGCCCACCTGGATGTTCTGGAAAATGTATCATCTGCACTAAAGCCAGCACACCTACCAAGCCAGACCAACCCACCAAAGGTGGGTCCCATCTGTTGTAGAGGCATCTTCCATAGTTATTGGAAATACAGGCACACACAGAGGGTACTGCACAATCATTTCTCACTGCCTACACGCAGACATCTACATGCCAAAAAACTCAACAATAAAAAACCTGCTGACTTTCCACTTCTTTAGCTTAGCATATGAAACCTATCTTTTTAGATTAGTTTAAAAAATTAAGAGAAAACTATATGTTGGGGAAACAGCAACAACATGTTCTAGAATTTCAATCAGCAACCTACAAAGTGTCCTGAAGAAAAGAACTTCAAGATTTTGCAGCAATAAAAATATTACTAAAATAATATTAATACATAGTAATAAATAGTAATATTACTGATATTACTAAACATTAGTAAAATATTATTACAGCAATATCTACAATTAAAGAGACAAGAAAGTAACGTGATTATCATGCAAACAGAATAGGCATCTGAACCTTCAGTTACCAGTTAGGAGAAGGCAGACAAAACACACTGGATGACAACACCTATTAAAGAAAAGCTGCGTCTGTGGGTGTATCAAAAATTAACTGAAGCAAGTAGGACAGTCATGAGATATTATGAACACTAGAAAGTCCTGACTTTGCACAAGCTGCCTGCTCCTACTTAATCCAAAAGCATGGTTACGAAATGACAAAATATAAATAGTGCTGAGCAATAAAGCTGGCAAAATCCTAGGCGCTTGGATGTGGTTCATTGCACCTACCATAGCTTTACACCAAAGGCACTTCCAATCTTGCAGGCGTAAAACACTGCCACAAGTCTTGTCGCAGACTGCGCATTTGGCACTGACGGGCAGATTACCCTCTAACCACTGGTGAGGCATAGCTATCTGTGAAGTAGTAGTCATAAAAGTTAAAAATACTTTTAAATACTCAGAAATAGAAATTAGAGGCTTTTGTCTTTCAAATATAGGTGGATTTAAACTATTCCCATCCCTGGAAGTGTTCAAGGCCAGGTTGGATGGGGCTTTGAGCAACCTGGTCTAGTGGAGGGTGTCCCTGCCCATGGCAGGGGCGTTGGAACTAGACGATCTTTAAGGTCCCTTCCAACCCAAAGCAGTCTATGATTCTATCATTCTATTTCCCATAGCTCTACCCTTTCATCAAAAAAGCAGGTATGGCTGACCAGGACAAGTGACATAGATGGTTGCAAGGCAACAGCTATGAAGGTGGACCATGGCGGTGCTTCATATGCTAGGCAGAAAATGTGACAGCTGAAGAAGGGAGACACATCTCATTCAACTATTCATGGTACTATGGAAGTACCTAACCACAAAACAATGGGGCAGTTAAATCTAGAGCTTCTGTAATATAAATAAGTACCCATTCCCTTAATGTTGACTACATAACACAAGCCAACGAAAATAACTAAAATTCAGAAGAATAGGCAGGACAGCAGAATATCTCTGTGGCTTTACGCATCCCCTTGGTCACCACAACTGGTAAGTCACATCTCTATAAAGCAGGTCCTAAATCCAGTGGAGAGCTTTACTCGGTGCACTTTGTCCCAGTAACACCATGGGCAACTCATGACACTCCTAGGTGTGCAACTGAGCACTAACCTTCTAGGAAGAAGTTTCACACCAGTGGCCCATGCACAGTTTATAAAAATAATCCATCTATCACAATAAAGCTCTGAAAAACTTTTGTCCTTTCTCCTGCTAATTTTAAAATTCCTGCTTTCATCAGTAAAAAACACCCTCTGTACCTCAGTGAATTCCAAGCGGCCTCCTGCAGAAGAGCTATCGGTAAGGAGGACACAAAATAGATTGGCAAAACAGCATGGTGACAGCATAAAATACCACCTTTGCTTAGGAGCAGTAGGAACCTCTGGGAGCAGTTCTCCAGCTTCAGAGCTTCTCTGCATGTGGCCTTTAAAATCTTGTAACACAGCTACAATCTAGTGCCCACAGATACTAAACTTGTCTTGTGAGATAGGAACATAACTTTTGTTCTAAATACCACGTTTAATCTTTGAAAAGTGTTAAGGAATGTAACCACCTACCATTAACTTCAATGGGTCACATGGCAATATTTCTATATTTAGCTTTTTTTTTTCCCCCCCATAAAGAAGAAACAGCTTTGGAAAATACTGTAAATATGAATAGTACTTACACCATCTTCATCTTCAATGATGTCTTTTCCAATTGAGGCTAATGTAGTCCATTTGCAGTTATTTGTTGCTCGGACAGCACATCTTTTATGTGCTTTAAACTTACACACTGGAAGGTACACATAAACATGTATACTATGTTATTTGTTGTATTTCAGTGATATGTATCTTTTAAAAAATTAAACAGAGATATTCCATAAAACAGCCAAGTACCTGTTGCACACATGACACAACCCAACTAGGAAAATCCAGTTCATAATCACTCCAGCTTTAACTCACTAAACTGGGTTTGGGGGCAACAGACACTATTTGCAGCCTTTGTAGGTTTTCATACATGCTTTGAAAGGATTCAACATTTGCAAACGTTCAAGGCTTGCGTATCTCTGCAACCTTATAGCTCAGTTAAAGTAGCCAGGCTAAGAGGCTCTGCTGGAAGGATGGTTAGAAAACTCAGAAGCTGAGAAATTCAGTGTTTTGTTTGCTCAGCTGTATGCAGCCCGTGTTAAGTGTGATCTTAAATTCACTCTGGTCCCCTTTTTTTTCAGGTGCAATACAAGGGTCTAAGGTACAAATATACCTTTAACATAGAAAGAACAGAACAGAACAGAACAGAATAGGTCTAGACTATTTCAGTTGGAAGAGACCTACAACAATGATGTAGTCCAACTGCCCACCACTTCAGGGTGCAAAAGTTAAAGCCTGTTCTTAAGGGCATTTTCCAAATGCCTCTTAAACACTGACAGGCTTGGGGCATCGACCACCTCTCTCTATTTTTGCCTTTTCTATCCCTCCAGCGACACAACTCAGATACCAGGTCTAAATTTGCAATAGGTGGTGGGAGCATGTTTCAGAGAAGTATTTTGCCTCAGGAGCTCTGTTTCTTTGCTTAAAGAACCCCTTTTGGGCACCATACTGTGCCTATTTTCCCCAGAAGCTGAGAAAGTAAAGAGTTAGGCAATGATATATTTATTCAGGATATTAGTAGTTACACTATTTTCCAAGAGACTACATTAAGTGAGGAAGAGCCTGACTTCTTACTGGATTATTTATTAAAAATATACTAATTGGAATACTCAGCACAAGTGTGTAGTACTGGCAGACATTTTGACAATCTAATAACTATTTGTATTTTGTTCAACTCAATTAATATGACTAGTTAATGATATCATATTATACCAAACAGACTGATGCATACAACTGTGGGTATTCCTGTTACTGGAAGTGCATGACATCATTCTATTTAGAGTGCATTATATAAATTATTTTGGCAAAGACCATTAAAGGTTTATGAGAACTAGCCAGCAGATCAGAGGTAGTAGTCTCTTTTCAAACAAATATTTGACAGGAAACTATCAAAATCTTTGGCCCATTGCTTGTCCACCATTAAAAACATTAACCCATGGTACAAAAGGTCTTGTGAATCATAAATTTCTCATTTTAATTCCACTGATACATTGCCAGATCAATTTAAAAAGTGAATGCAGACTATTTAAGCAGCATCTGAGTTTGAGAGCAATCATCCCTGTTCTGGGAGATGCGTGAAAGTATGTGGTTAGCTCAAAGAAAGAGAAGGAAACAGAAAAAGGACTTTTGCTGCTTTTACAGTAATTCCCCTGTTATTTCAAAAAGTAGCATTCACAGACCTGAAGTGTGCAAATATCTCGTATTACTCAACTAACAGACTAGGCTCACATATTCAAAATAGCTCAGCAGCATATTGTGTGTTTGCCAACCTAAGCTGGTTCCCCGCATCGACAGAAGTCAGCTCTCACAGAAGCACAGGCTGCATTTGCAGAAGTGTTGGGCCTTGAGCAAGTTTTGCCACTTGAATGTTTTGGAGAAGATATGCCATCTTCATAGTCATAAACAATATACATTTGTCTTTGCCACACAGATCAAAATACAACAAATCAGGGATGAGGGGCAGTAAGAAATCCCAAATGACTATGGCACAGCAAAGTAATTTCAAATCCTGTTGAGTTTAACTAGATCTCAGGACCCTGTATTCAACCTCTGCTCTCTTAACAAAGCAAGGAGAAATTCAGACCTAAGATCTGAAGAGCTGCAGCAAGCCACACCAGGGATGGCAAGTGACAGCTAATGTTTGCTTTGTAGGCACAGTACATAACTTACCAAATCTCAGAACAAACTGTCTGTAGGTCTGCAATCCCAGTATCATCAAATAATAATTCGTGTTACTCTGAACATTAAACATTATCGAAAGCAATGACCTTAAGACACAGATGTAACTTTTGAACAAAATACATAGCAGTACAGAAGAGATGGGTGTAGAAAGGAAAATTTTAAATCAAATCTCAACCTTAGTTACTACTACCCCTTAATTTCTTTTGTCTCAGATGACACTGCAGCCCATACATGAATCAGTCTGATACCTGAAATCTTTTGGAAACATGCAGACATACTGCTAGAGATCAATTGCCACTACTTCACCAAAGTTAAAAGATAAGAAAAAAAAAATTTAGCCAAACCAAATCTAGAATATTTGTAGAACATCATTATTTTAAATTTTAATTCCCTGTCTAAATATTTCTAGCTGGAATATGAAGCAAGTCTCTCAGAAAGCCAATCAAGAGAACAACCTAATTAGCAAACAGTTGTCACAGTTGTACCAACATCTGCTGTCAGACTCAGTTCCACTGGCAATGACCTGGATAGAAATGCTGTTTTAATACACAATAATTGAAGTTAAAGAGCTTTGAAGAGTTCCTGTAGATAACGATCTATAGTTCTTTACGTTTCTTCACCTAAACACTCCATGTATTCCTACATTCACCTGACAGTTCTTAGGCTTAGACTCATGAGCACAGAGCAAGCTAAACTCTTGAGTAAGAGAAACATTTGAGAAACATGAAGAACAAAAGCCTTACTTGATTCAAGTAATTTGAAACAATTTCCAAAGCAAGGCCAAAAAATGCAACTTTTCTGCCCTAGTAAAGGACATTCTATGGACAAATGTAGGGAAGAAGAGTCCTTTAGACCTAGCTAGAGGAAAATTTTTGTTTATGAATACAACATACAGACAACACTTGAAAAGCAGATTATCTTTGAGGAAGACACAAAAGAAGGAACTAGTGGGAGAAATAGCATTGCACCTCAAAGGCATATACAATTAATTTTTTTAAAAGTCAATTGTTTTTTGAGCAGTAGAAAGAATGAAGCCTGGTTTGGTATGAATTTACATCTTCGGTTTGATATACGTATCAATTCTTTAACTTCTAAAAAGATGAAAGTTCGCACTACAGTCTTTTCCCTAGTGAAGGCATTAACATACCTTCTTTTCCTACACTGGTTTCCACAAAAATTACAGGAGTATCTTTGAGATGACCTGCAATGAATTTGGCCAACCTTTGCCAATGGCTGCTGAGAGGGAAGGGGCCCTGAAAAAGGCAGGCACCCATTTTATCTTCAAAAGAATTGAGGCTTGTAGTGTGGTCAGGCTAAAAAAACCAGTTGTGTAGCACTGCTGGAGACAAACAGGTCTAAGAGAATAAAATATTACAGGACCAATCTTCTGAAGTATCATAAGCTGCAAAATATCAGTGATGGGATTTATTTTTATTGTTACAGTTAACAGTCAAGAATCAAACCACAAAGAGTACAAAGACTCTAAGCTACTTTCAAGATGACTTTTTGTGCCAGTAACCCAAAACATTGAGGAGGAAGAGCTCCAAATTCTCCTGAGAAGAAGCCTCTCATGCTTCTCAATATAAGACATAATAGAGTAGCCTGGGATCAATGACCACACAAATAATTGAATTTAGTATAGATATAAATGGATTCGTAGCGTAAAGTAGTACTGGAGGTTTCAGATGCCAGGCATGAATATTTAAACAGTTTTTTTAAAGATGTAATGAGGAAAAGTAGCACAGAACATGTCTGGGGAATCTTAAGACTCCATACTTCCTACATCATCTCCTCAAATAGTGTATATTGCTAACACGTTCTAAGTCAAAAAAATAGATGGTGAAATGCATTAGAAGTGCACACGACAGAAGCAAGTAAATATGAACTCAGTCACATAAGAACTTCAGAGAAAGAAGTAGTATCAAATCAAAATATGCTTCTTATATGTAGAAATTAAGGATGGTTAAACATGGTCTCTAGTGGGCACCTGGCCTCCAGCCAGGGTGAACCCACCACGTACAGATATACAGAATCAAGTACAAAGTATGAGTATTTCGGTCAAAGAGTTAGCCTTTGACTGATTTAGATTAGGTGCATAGTTACGGTTCTCCTTTTATTTTTAAAAATTAACCAGATATAAACTAGCAGCTAAAAAGTAAGAGGAGATAAACTTATTAATAGATAAAAGAATATCATAGTATCTACATATAAACCAATCCAGGTCATGAATGTTTATGAAATTGTGAACCAGTGAAAGCAAATCCCATCAACCATCAAGAGCCATTCGTAAAAACTGCTGAAAGATCAGCTGGCATCAGAAATGTGGACAAATGTAGCATTAGTTTGTAATAAGTTATGCAGAAAGTTGACAAAGTGTAAATCTGTAAGGAAACTTCCTTAATGTAAAGTTAGCACCAACACCTTAGAAATTAAAATCATACTTAGAAGCAAAATAAGACACTGAAAAACCAGAAAACAATGAACTAAAACCATCAACGCTGATAAACTTACAAGAATAATTCTCACTAAACAGCCTTTTAAAATAGCTATAATATTAACTTATGAAAGGGAAGAAGTCTTTCCTTTTCCTTGCCTGAGCAAATATAACTGTATTTGTACACAGAGGCAATACAACTGCATTCTAGTTAAGCACATGATACTTCCATCTGCCAATGTCAGACATCGAAAATACCATAATTGCCTTAAAACCGTCCAAGCGACTTACACGCAGTGGAAAACATACACCGGAGAAGCTGGAAATAACTATGCTACTTCTAATTTCTATGAAATGGCTTTGTCCCATTCCTTGGCAAGTGCACCATTAGCTACATTAAAAGCATGGACAATTCAGGACAGTGAGTTAATGTTTCCGTTGTAGTATTTCCTTAATACACATTATTATGCTCAGACCTGAAGTATTGTAACAGCATCAATAACAGAAATGCATTTGCAGTTGGGTAACATGCATCCAAAAATCAAGTTTTGAATGGTGTAAGTAACAGTAACTCTTTTCTGGACAGTTAGCTATTTTGTAATTAAATATCTCTACATTTCATATACACCATAAGGTCACACTGATGCTTTATTTTCTGTTGGATTCCAACACAAGTAAACTCGTTACTGCTTTTTCACAGAACTTGCAGCAGAAAATAAATAAGCTCTTTCAGGTTTATTATAAATATTTGTTTGCAAAATATGATTTCTCCAGGTAAGCTTAATGCTGAAATGTTAGCCACACCTCCTTTTTCTTTGTGCTGGATTTCATCTGATGAACCATCAAAATGCAAAGGCGTCTACATCTCTACCCTCTCACTGCATGAGAGAATTTTTAAAGCAATAAATCTGTCCTCATCTGTCCTGCCTGTACCGCAGGATCAGGCAGCAGCAGCAAAGCAAACAAGAATCAGAGGTCCTAGCGCTGAACAAAGTGTTAAGAATTTTTATAGATTTTGAGCAGAAACTACCATTATGTTTTTTTTCCCAAGGAATGCCAATTCTGCAAACCAGTAAGACTATTTTGTTACATGTCTACATTTTTGAAGGGCGAATCAAAGAAATCCTGTCTTTTCTTGCAAACCGTCCACCCAGGCACACACATTCCAGACTGGTCGCTGCAGCAGAAGGAACTGTTTTATTGAAACGAGTTAGAAAAAGGCACCAGATCGCAAAGAAGGTGGGGCAGATCATTAGCAGTCCCTCTGCACAAGGGAAAGTCACTCTAGTGAATAGATTTCTCCCTTGGGGCTTTTTTCTTACTCATTATTTTCAGAATCATTACTTGTCTTAAACTTTCAGCCATCTGTCTACATACACAGCGTTATAAAGAGGGGAAGAAAGCGTTTATTTTACCTTCACAAGACAGGCCGTGAGAGGTGACTCCAGAGAGGCTCTCTCTACACACGTTACAGAAGGTAGGTCGGGCATGGGAGCAGGCGTACCAGTTATGCATCCCTGAGAAATGTTCCACATTAAACTGTGCGGTCTAGTAAAGGAGAAGTTAAGACAAATTTGCAAGTACAGAACACAGCTACGGTGACTGAAATTACCTACGGTTCCATATTACAGGGGACGACAATGCAACGTTCACCAAAAGTATTTTCCAAAGGGTATTTAGCCTGCTCTCCCTCCAAACTTCTAAACAAAAGCGTGAAAATAAGCTCTCATTTTGCTAGTAAAGGTCTTAACAGGAAGCTTCACTCTGACACTCAAGACACTTGTCACACTAAGGAGGGTGAATACTCCAGTTCTGTGTCCTGTAGCTTGATCTGTTGAGCTAGAACAGGTTGCACCAACAGGGATGTCAACTTACCTCATAGTGTTCTCTGGACTGAACGGACTTCAGAGAGCTTATCCAGTCCTCCATTTCTTTTCTGTTCTCAGCACACAATATTAGCCTCCTAAATGGAGTGATTATCTGAAAAAGATAATGCATTCTAATTAATCCAGATAGTAAAACTCGTGATAGACTATAATATTTAATGTACTCTTTTTCCTGTGAGATGATGCAAAAGGAAGACACGCCCTAGGTCACAAGATATTAAACGCTTAAAAATATCTTCTTTAATACGCTACCAACAATGAAGGAGTTTGCTTTCCCTTTTTCAGTTCCCAAGATTTGAATCAGGCTTCAGTATAGGTCTTTCCGATGTATATTGATCGTGCCTCCTTCTCAGCTCTTTGTCTATGCACTGAGATTTAAATACTCAAATGGCAGGCACCGAAACTGCTAAAACAACTGTTCTGGAAATTACTAATTGACTAAGATTGCAATCCTATTTCATAACAGCATTACAGCAACTGCATGGTCTATTCCAATTGCTAGAGACAAGACCAAATCAAAATCAAAAGCCTGGAAGTCTTACACAACAACGACAAAAAGCTTTCATCATATTTCTCTACCTTGTATATTGCTATTACATTTACACAAATTTAAACATACATAAATTTAAAACAGAACTTTCTATATAAAATTCAGTATAAGAACACATACAAATCTTTATAAAAAGACACAGAGAATAAAAGCAAACAGCTGAAATCATATCCTACTAGGATGGTTGAATGAATTCCTGGAACAAGTTGATGCTGGGGAGTTTTCAGTGGTCTAGAGCTGGACTCTAGAAATCTGAAAATGCTGTATCTAGGAGGTTGAGACTAAAAGCTGTTTTCCCCTCTTCCTCACCAGTAGAAAAATAATTAAAATAACAGGAAGGCACCAGAAACTATCAGCTAACTCCCACTGAAATTATTTTGAGCATTGCACTAAAATAGACAAAGCAGTTACTTACACAGCAAAGAATTTAAAACAAAATAAGTACATGAAATGAAAGTTATTTGGTTTTTTGTAGGAAGTCTGAAAAAATAAAATTAAATCCTCTATCAGTCTTATACATAAATCTATCGCATAGTATGTCCCACCCACACTTGCAAATTACTGAAGTAAAACAAAGAAAGGACCACCAAAAAATGATAGCTCTGAGTATTGTGTTAAATGCTACGGGCTAGATACTGTAACAATTGCACAATATTAGAAAACGCTCCTGTACAGCTGCATTTACTTACCCAATCTCTGCTGTGAATAGTCTCTAGCCTTGATATGTCCTATCCACTTCTTCATTAAACTGAGCTGCACTTTAACATATCTCAGAGGCAACGTAACTGAAGTGCAGCAAGCTGCAAGTCACATGGAGGAGAGGCAAAAACCCTGTGGGCTTTTTTTTTTTTTTTTTTTTTTGATGTACTCACTTCACATGGAATGGAATAGTTTCTCTGTTTTCTATTTCCTTCAATCTTGCTTAAGCTTTTTAATAAAGTTTATTAGTAGCTCTCCGCAGCTCTTCCTAAAGAACAGTTAATGCAAAGAGCAATGCTTCTCTCATTAGTTTGGAGCCAAACAGATGCTTTATTACTTCAAAATGTTTTTCTAGGCCAGGTCATCAAATGAAGCCCAGAAAAGCCATTAAATCATAATATAACCCTGGCTCCAACAACAATCAGCATTCTGCTGGAATTTCGAGGTTTCAGTGGACTCAGAAATCTTATTTGGGCAAATACACACACCAGATTATTTCCTATTATATAGCATGACATTATAATACGGATTAAGTAAGGGCAAGTCCTCCCAAAAGTCTGCACTTTGCGTCCGTCTCTCCCTCATGCTCATTACTGATGCTAACCTGTAACTAGATGTTGTGAAATGCCGTTAAGCAACAACAGCTGCATTTATTGCTGAAGACTCCTGACAATCTTGATCTTTTCAAGTAATATTTATTGATATTACTCATGTCTTTAATCCTACTGATCACAGAAATCCCCCGTGCGTCCCGCCACTCTCCCCTCCAAAATCAAGGCCTTAGTTCAGTTGTTCATACATAGTTATCTAGTGCCAATGGAGATGCCCTTTGGTATCCAAAGCATTGGCACGGGACAGGTAAATATGACAGAGGACCACAGCACCCAGAACAGCAGCTATAAATAAGCCAAGTAGGACACCCAGGCCATCTCAAAAGGTACTACACATCCATGTATTGGCAATCAAATCATGTCATCAAACATAGCTAACTAACGCATGTAAACATACCGGAAAGTCCTACATCCCGACTTCTTATTAAATTCAGAGCACAATAAATTTCATAAAGTTCAGAGCACTTCAACTGTCTAAAAGTTAAACTATATATTGATGATCCCATGAATGTAGGATCAATTATTATTTGTGCTATAAAAATAAAGTGGAAAGTTGGAAGACATACACATTTGTAAATATAACATCTGCAACATGACGATAAAACTACATATTCTCTTCGATTTACATATTTTAACAACAAACATCAAGAAGGAATACGATAACATGAAAAAAGAAAAAATTCATTATATGCAAAAAATATCAACAATGCTTGGGATTTTTCTTTAAAAAAATAAAAGAGAAACTAAGCCATCTGTTTAGGTTCTCATCTATTTCAGTCTACAAAATCATGGAGAAGAGGCACTCTCATTATTTATTAGATATTTCATGTAACATAAGAACTCAGGGAACCAAGGAAATGATTTGCAAACAACAAGAAGTGTTTTTTCCTAAATGTAACACATTACTTAGACTTGAAAAGTATTCCAAAAGGATGTTGAGGAGACCAGAACTATAAATGTCTAAAAAGGTATTTGACAAATTCATCATGAACAGATGCATCATATACTATAAAGCACAATACCTGAAACCTTCAACTTAGCAGGTCCTCAAAATCCAACAAGTGAATGTTGCCAAGTTACGCAAGGGGAAGAATCCCTGTACATGCTCTGCTGCTCATACTCCTTTCTCGAGTACCTGCTACTGCTATTATACTACTTTGATTCAGTATGGTTTTACGAGCTGTACGCTAACTCAGTATAGCTGTTCTTGCTTGTCCTAAACTGAGAATGACTTCCTATACCTTCTTATTTGCATTTACACAGAAGGCATGCTTTCTTATGGATGCCCACAGAAAGTTACGATTAACTAACTTAAGTGCATTCAAGATACTTGAACCTGTATGTGGACGTAATCAAAATTAAAATTGATTTTATTCTCCTTAAAATTACATTCCAGCCATGTAAATGTGGATTTTACTAGTAATCTTATCTCTTTGCATCTAGTCATATTCAAAGTCCTATATCTTTTCTTCTACCGACCAAAGTCAGCATCTTTTCTTCTATTGCGTATTACCTTTTTTTTAAAATTAATGTTTGCTGCTCCAATTATTATTTATATATCACTCTGAATATGCTAAACCCTTAACAGACAAGAAGAGATCATATAATACAATGACAAAGGAAGTGTCACAAGAACCAAAGGAAGACCATTGAGGCAACATAAGAATGAGAAAACTCTTACATTTTGGAGGAACTCAGGTGCTAATGGTTCACACGCTGACAAAGCAGGAGACAAATCAAGAAGGATGAAAACAGACAAAAAGCCTTAAAAATAAATAAATCAAGTAGATTTAATTTAGAAGATTAAGTTACTTTGAAAATTTTTACTGTTGTCAAGTAGCCAAGAAGAAGTCATTGCTGATTTTGGAAGAGACAGTTATCAAAGCCAGATACTGCAGTATATTGGAAAGTAATGAAAATTGAGGTAGTGGGAATAAAAAATGTTTTTAACGCAGTAGACATAGGAAAGATATACAGTCCTAAAAGTTGAAGGCAAACAACACACACCCTAAAACTTTATAGGGAATAAAGAATGTCTGGATAGGAGGAAAAATGGCCCATTACTGCGATAATGTTCCTGTTCAGAAAAACAGGGGAGGGGTTGAGTGGGGAATGAAGAAGGGAACAAGAGGACATTGTTCAGTCTGCCACCACATAGGTTTTGCCATAAATTGGGTTTTTCACACATGTTGACACTTGGATAATTTGGCTTCTAACAATATACACGTACTCATATATATGTACATACACATCTGGAAATTACTTCAATGAAAATTACATGGTTGAGTTTTGGGCCACTGCTGCAACTTTTCTTTCAGACAGCACCTGTTAGGAACAAGCTTAGTATCTTGAAAGGAAATAAAATTGTCATTAAATTCAGTGTAAATTTGAAAGCACATTTCATTTTCAAAGGGGCTAACTTTACTGAGAACACTCTATCTGCCTTCAACCCAATGGATTTAGACTTACGATCTATAAAATAAAATCATCGAGAGTTCAATTAAAGCCTATTGCCTAATTTTTAACATATTTTATCATATCAGCAATATATAAGAAAACACAGTTCCCAAAGCTTGGTGGCTACACCGCTGGTTTCCTTTACCGATTCAAAGAAAAATGCAGACACTACATTTGCTAATCAAGAAAATAATGGTCTACATCTCAGCAGCAACACAGCAGCTATTGTAAAGCACCCTGCTTCCTGCAACATGATATTTGCATTAAGGCACCTTCTGCTGCTCTAAACTATTATCAGGCATTACACTAATAGCACTTTGTATGGCCGATCTTGAATTGACTTAGCAATGTAGAATCACCACTTAGAATCTGAAAGGGGCAGGGAAATGGTTTTCCTGTTCTTTGATCGGATATTTTTAAAATATTTTTCTGGAACTAATGAAGAGAGGGTGATAAAACAAGAGAGACCACCCCCACCTCTCCTCTTAGGGACCAGACCCAATGCCTGGGGCATGAACGTAACAGATTTAATGCTTTGTAATTTCTCTGTGCTTCTAGACGTTGGCGAGTGAGTTCTGGCAAATACCAGGGTAACATCTTATGCCTCCCCCACTTCCGGTTTGCCCCTCAATTTCCCTGACGTCATGCAGGTGGATCCATATTAATGTGACGGATGAATGCACTTCCATCACAGTGGTGGGAGTAGACTGCTGGGGTCATTGATGTACCCATACCAGACTTGTCTGCAAAAATCACAGTGCTAACAGCTGGGCAGCT